CATATTAGATATTGGTGAAGTGAGATGATTTGGCATGGGACATTTTGAGTCAGATGACCATATGATCTACTATGCCAGGTGTGAAAAGGTGAGAAAAGATGAAATTGCTTTCATAATGAAAAAAGTCATTTCTAGATTCATCATTAAATACAATGCGGTGAGTAAGAGGATAATATCCATACGCATACAAGGAAGTCCAGTGAATACCATTATCATTCAAATATAATGCACTGACAACTAGAGCCAAAGAAGAGGAAATGGAAGATTTCTACCAACTTCTGCAGTCAGAAATCAATCAAACATGCAATCAAGATGCATTGATAATAACAGGTGACTGGAATGCAAAAGCTGAGAACAGGGAAGTAGGATCAGTAGCTGGAAAACATGGACTTGGTGACAGAAAATGAGGCTGGAGCTAGAATGATTCACATTCCATGATTTATTCATTGCAATTACCTTTTATAAGAAACACAAACAGGCTACAAGCATGGATTTCACCTGATGATATGCATAGAAATCAAATAGATTACATCTGTGGAAAGAATCGCAGGAAAAGCTCAATATCAGCTTGAAAACCAGGCCAGGTGTTGATTGTGGAACAGATTACCAACTACTGATATGCAAGTTCAAGCTGCAGTTGAATAAAGTAAAATCAAATCCATAGGAACCAAAATTTGACCTTAAGTCTATCCCATTCAAATTTCAAAACATCTCAGGAACAGGTTTGAGGCCTTGGATACCAGTGAGCAAAGACCAAATGAGCTGTGGGAGAATATCAAGAATATCTTCCTTGAAGAATGCAAAAGATCATTACAAAGGCTGAAGAGGAAGAAAAGACCAAGATAGATGTCAGATGAGACTGAGTATTGTATTAGAGCACCAACAAACCAAAGCTAAAGGAAGAAATCAAGAACTTAAAGAGCTGAACAGAAAATTTCAAAGGGTAGCTTGGGATGACAAAACAAGATATTATAATGAAATGTATAAAAAGCTGGAGTCAGAAAATCAAATGGCTGAACTCACTCAGCATTTCTTAAGCAGAAGGAATTGAAAACCAAATTCAAGCCATAAGTGGCAATACTTAAGGATGCTTTGGGTAGAATGTTAAATGACCCAAGAAGCATTAAAAGAAGATGGAAGGAGTATACAGAGTCATTGTATCAGAAGGAATTGGCTGACAGAAGAATTTCATGAAACAATGTAAGAGCAAAGCCTATGGTGATGAAGGAGGAAGTTCAAGTTTCCCTGAAAGAATTGGCAAAAATCAAGGCTCCAGGAGTTGACAGCATAACAATTGACGTATTTCAACAAACAGACTCCCTTGATGTGCTCAGTAAATTGTGCCAAGAAATCTGGAGGACAGCCACCTGGCCAACTGATTGGATGAGATTGATATTTGTTCCCATGCTAAAGAAAGGTGACCTGACAAAATGTGGAAATTATTGAACAATATCTTTAATATCATATGCAAGCAAAATTCTGCAGGAAATTATTCAAAAATGACTGGAGCAACACATCAGCAGAGAACTGATGTAAAACCTACACTTGAATCAAGAGGCAGTCGTCAGAACAGAGGAAGGAGACACTACATGGTTAAAAATTGGGAAGGATGTTCTCCAGGGATGTATTCTATCTCCATACCTTTTCACTCTGTATGCAAACAGATCATCTGGGATACTGGGCTGTATGAGGAGGAATGTGGCATCAGGATTGAAGGAAGATTCATCAACAACCTGTGTTAAGCAGATGACACAACCCTTCTTCCTGAAACTGAGGACCTGAAGTGCTTGCTGCCGAAGGTCAAGGACTACAGCCTTCAATATGGGTTGAAACTCAACATCAAAAAAACAAAGATTCTCACTACCGGGCCAAATGGCAGCATCATGATAGACAGTGAAGAGATTAAGATAGTTAACAATTTTAGTTTGCTTGGCTCCACAGTCAACACTCTTAGTACCAGCAGCCAGAAAATCAAGAGAAGAATTGCATTGGGAAAGTCAGCTGTCAGGGACTTCTCCAGAGCACTGAAGAGCAGCGACGTCAGGCTGGAGACTAAGGTGCAACTGATCCAGGCCATAGTCTTTGTAATTGTGTGCTATGCATCAGAGAGCTGGACAGTATCTAGGGATGATAGAAAGAGAATTGATGCCTTTGAGCTGTGGTGCTGGAGAAGAGTGTTGAATATACCATGGACTGCTAGGACAATAAACAGGTTTGTCCTGGAGAGAATGAAACCAGGCTGCTCCTTGGAGGCAAGGATTCTGAGGCTTTGTCTGATATACTTTGGGCATGTCGCAAGGAGGGACCAGTCCTTGGATAAGGACATCATGTTTGGGTGTGTGGAGGGACAGCGCAGAAGAGGAAGACATTTGATTAGATGGATCGATTCCGTGATTTGCGTAATGGGGGTAGGTGTGTCAGAGACAGTGAGGTTGGCACAGGATAGAGCAGGGTTTAGGGCTCTTGTACATAGGGTCACTATGAGTCTCAAGTGACTAGATGGCACATAACAACAATTACTTGAATAAGAGTAGTCAGAGACCACTTGTAGGCTGAGTAGGCACTGCTCCCAGGTCTTTTTCCTTACTTCTTTCAATGATCAATAGATGGTGGAGAAGCATTGGAGAGGCAGAAAAACATTATTTATTGCATAGGATCAGAGAGAGGAAGGAGAATTGTCTTTCCTCCAGGTTGGAAGACCATTTCTCAGCTGCCAAGCCTTGCCAAGGAAGGGAAGCCAAGCTGGGACTGATACCATCTGGGTCTCAAAGAAGTCAACCTTTTGCTGTCATCATTGTTGCTAGGTGCCATTGAGTTAATGTTGACACATGGCAGCCCTTTGTACTGCCTGGTCCTGCACCATCCTTGTAATCATTGCCTTGTTCCAGTCTGTTTCACATCCGCTATGTCAATTCATCTTGTTGAAGGTCTTCCTCTTCTGTTTCCCGACATTCCACTTTACCAATCAGATGCCTTTCTCCAGGGACTGCCCTCCCCCGACAACATGCCCAAAGCATGTGAGATGAAGTTTCATGATCCTCACATCCCAGGAGCATTTTGGCTGCACTTTGTCCAACACAGATTTATGGTTGTTCTTCTGGCAGTTCATGGCAGAGTCAATATTTTTTGCCGACATCGTAATTTCAAGGCATCAATTCTTCTCTAGTGTACTCTAAAAATGAAGACCTTAAAAACAAAAAACAAAAAGCCCTGACTGTTGCAAGACTTCCTCCCCACCGTGCAGGCACGCAGCACTCCCAAAATGCTCTTGCCGGTGCGAGTGATGAAAGACTGGGGCGAGAGAGCTGCGTTCCCAGGGTGATTGTGGAGCCTGCCTTTTATTCCCTCACATTATGGATTTCACATTAGGCTGAAATCATGCCTGCAGCTCAAGGGACTTCCATAAAGACACTGAGAAACATTTCGCTTTTGTTGTTGATTTTGCTTTTGTTGTTGATTTGTGACTTAAGAGACCCAGTGTATTAGAGAGAAGAACTGCTCCGTAGGGTGTTCTTGGCTGCAACCTATTCAGAAGCAGATCGTTGACATTTCTTCTTTGATGGTATTGCTGAACAGGTTCAAATCACCAATTTCGTTGTTATTAGTAGTTTCCAAACCCCTTGCATCCCACAGGGACCAGGAGAAAATCTTTTTGACCCTCAAGGTAGAAAGATACTGTATTACAGGATGGGAAAACTCTATCTGCAAGTTAAATCCCTCCAGTCACTTGTTTTTGTATGACCAGTGAGCTAAAAAAAGAGGTTTCACATTTGAAAAAATGTTTAAAGAACAATAACGTTTGGTGATATGTGATAATTATAAGGAAATGAAAAGTTTGGAGTCCATAAATAAAGTTTTATTAGAATATAGCCAGAGTCATTCATTTGCATTCCATCTATGACTGCTTTGGGACTACAGCAGCAGAGTAAAGCAGTTGTGACAAAGACCAGATGGCCTGCAAAACCTAAAATATTTACTCTCTGGCCCTTTTTGTGCACTGAGGCCCTGCAATCTCTCCTTTCGCTAGACTTGCTTATGTTGATGCTGTTATATACTATCAAGTTGGAAATGATCCATAGCTGACACTCTAGCCAGTTTTCAGAGGCAGTAAATTGCATGGGAAAGGACTGTCCATCTTTCTTTCAAGGAGCCATTGGTGGATTTGAACCATGTGCCTTTAGGTTGACAGCACAACTTCCTGGCACTAAGTCACTAGCAATCCCTAGACTTGCGTAAGTAGGGGTTAACTGTGATTGAGTTTCAGGGCAAGAAACAGAGAGACGACTAACCATGTTGTTCTCTCAGGTTGTTGCCACCGCTCTGCTTTCAAAGGAATGCACAGCCCCTTACAAGAATCACCTCATCACAGCTCAGAACTTTCCTGTGAAGGAATAAGTCAGTGCAGTGTTACTACCACTGTTTCCACAATCCTGGAAAGTTTCTAAGTGAGTGGGTGGCTATAATTTCTGCACTTGACAATTGTTAAAAGCCAAAACCAGAATTAACCAAAAGCATCTTGGTCCAGATAGAGATAGGGATGACATCTTCTTCCAGAACAGAATTTATACCATCTTCTCTGTTAATGATATTGCCTCAACCGGGGAAATCTCTAGACCAAGATAAACCTACGCCATTTAGAATTCCAAACAGGCACCCCAGTGAGTTCCCCTCTTACCTGCATATCCCTCTTGGCAATGAAGCCCTTGCCCTCTGCATCGCAGGTCTGGAAGAACTCCTGCGCCTTCCTCAGCATGGCCAGCTGGCATGGGGCCTGATCGTGAGCCTCCTTTTCCTCCAGGTTGTCCAGGGGACTCACAACAGTCTCACTCCTCTTTCGCCACTGACCAGGTCTCTGGGGTCTGGAGACCACTCTCCAGTTGGGGGAAGCCATGTAGATGTGTCGATTTCTTCAAATCTTTTCAGAAACTGGACATGGGAGATGAAAGAGAGAAGACGACATGGTCAGGATGAAGTGGGGCTGAAAAAAAAAATATAGAAGAGGGGCTGAGTATGTGTTCCACAGCCACTCAGCCCTTCCTCTCTCTACAACTATCTCTTTAAGTACCAGAATATCAGAACAAGGGTGAAATGTGGCATGTTTGATCATAAATCAGCCAGACCATCAAAGCAAGAAGAGAAGAGTGGGGGGGGGGGGAGATTAGATACTTCCAGATTGAAAGGATGTGGGGTGAAAGAGACCTGAAAACAAAATCTCACAATTTTTTTTATTTTTTTTTTTTATTTTTTTTATTTTGTGTGCGTGTACCGTCAAATCAGATCTGACTGGTACAGGAGGATATTGCGCCTCCTTCTCTGGCAGAGCATCTGGTGGATTCGAACCGTGTTCCTCTGGGAGTGCAGTGCAGCTTCTTGCCACTAGGCCACCAGAGACAAACAAAAGAAAGATGCAGAGCCTGACAGACCAGCTGTCATTTCTGGTGTGTATACCGGGAAGAAGGGAGACACTGGGTGGTGCAATTAATGTGCTTGCCTGCTTGCCTGCTTGCCTGCTAGCCAGAAGTTTGGAGGTTTGAATGTCCCAGAGGTACCTTGGAAGAAAGATCCTGGGATCTAACTCTGAATAATCAGCCACTGAAAACCCTATGAACCACAGCTCCACAAGTGCACATGGAGGGTCCTCAGAGTTGGTATCTACTTAATGACAACGACACACACAACTGAGGGACAAGTACCATGCCATGCTCTCTCCAGACACCTGACTGAATTCTCACATCCGTCTGATCACCTCTATGTATCTTACAGAGGACACTGAGGCTCAGAGAAGTAAAATGCCCTAGCCCAGGGCTACTCAATAAGTTAACAAGAAAAGCTGTGATTAAAAAATAATCTCACATCTAACTCCTGTTAGATCTTAACCCCATACTGTCCTAACTCCTCAGAGTTTGCAACAATGGAGACTGCCCCCTTCAAGTGCACTGTCCCATCACTCACTATCAGCAAGGTTTTGGAGAACTCTTACCCCACCCTAAAGACCTCTCACTGCCACTGAGCTCTGACGGCTTAATGGTAAGGAATTGCTCTGCCTACGCAAAGGTACATAGTTCCAATCTACAGGCTGTTCCAAGAAAGAAAGGTGGGCAATCTCCTCCCTTGCTATTTACTGCCTTTGAAAACCCACTGGAGGGCCAGCTAGGGGATGGTTCTGGCTTAACAGTAAACATCAACAATAACAACAACATGGATCTCTGCCAGAGCAGTGAGAACAGCAGCTAAAGAATCACAGCCCTACCCTGTCCTCGAGAGGTTTCCTGTTGTATTGGGCACTGTAGGCCTCGCTTGGTGACACCCAAGGCTGTCTTCAGTCAACACAGAATCATAAATCATACACCTCACCTGGATTCTCAAAGCCCCTCAAGGAGTTTGTCAGAGGGTGTTTTGCAAGATGATATCATGCAGTGAAGAAAGCCAATACAAGGCTTTTAGCCTGAACTCAGCAGTCACTGTCTCCCTGGGCCTCAGCCTCCTCATGTACTCAACAAAAGAGCCACAAGCATGTCTTTTAGGTCTCTTTGAGTTCAACCACTCTTCAAGTCTGTGAAATCCTCAAAGCAATAAATGGTCTCCAATAAAAATTGATATTACTGTGATAAAAGGAAACGTTGCCATGAGTAACTTTGTATATTTCCATCTGAAAACTTTTTGGACATAGACTAGGTAAAAATATTAAAAAGATGGTAACATATGAGTGTCAAACCATCAGTATGCACTAGAGTGCATTTTTGTGGGGAGCTGGAGAAAGCAGTGTCCTGATTCAGACAACTTCTGTGTCCAGGTCTGTAAAAACTCAAACTCATTGCCATCTAGGCAGAGCCAACTCACAGGGATCACCCAATGGATTTCCAGGGCTGCAAAATGCATACAAAGAGATTGCCACCATTCTCCCTCAGGGCCAGTGAATTTGAACCACTGAAGGCCAATGGTCCTCAGGCCACCAGCACAACTTGCTAAGGTATGCCAGCAGAGGAGGCAGCAATCTCTGTAACAAAGGTAGGTTTTTCTGGTTATCTCAAATACCAGAGCCTAGTCTCACTCAGGCCGTTATACCATAACTCCAAAGCAATCTGATTTCAGTCAGCATTTTCTACTAACAGAGTTGTCAAAAGCACTGAGCCCAGAACCGGAAGACCAGCTGCTGGCCTCAGGCATTAATTCCTGGTAACAGAGTCCCAACAAAGCACCTTCATGACTTCTTTGATCTTTTTGACCAGCCCCTCACTCCTCAGGAGGAAATGAGCTTTGGTGACCTAATGGATAAGGAATCGCACTGCCAACCCAAAAGCAAACAGTTCAAATCAACCAGTGGCATTTTAGCTGGACAATCTCCTCCCTTTCAATTTACAAGCTCTGAAAATCTGCTGGAGGGTCAGCTATGAGTCAGTTCTGACTCAACAGCACATAACAACCACCCATCCTTGTTGCTGTTGTTGTTAAGTGCCGTCAAGTCGTCAAGTGTCAAGTAGTTTGTGACTGATAGCGACCCTATGTACAATAGCCCTAAACCCTGCTCTATCCTGTGGCAATCGCACTGCCTCTGACACACCCATCCTGATCACTCCAGTCACTGAATCTGACACACCCATCCTGATCACTCCAGTCACTGAATCAATCCACCTCATAGAGGGCCTTCCCCTCCTGC